AAAGAAACTTGCAAAAACATTAACTAAATAGCACAGCGATTTCTAACTCAGTAAGTGGCCTCCTGAATATATCCTCAACCGGTGTTTTAACATAGGACAGAAAAAAAAAATCACTTTTTCAAAGGTCTTGTCATAAAGCAGCAACAGTTAAGGAATGGTAGATCTTTCAGAGGATTTATTTTAATAGCCAATATTTTATGTCAAGAGATTGGAAATTTCATATTCATGTTGCCAGTATAATTTCTGCTATAATTAATTGACCTAATTATTGTTTTCCTTGCTGAAAGCTTAGAGGCGTACCAGAGGAAGGATCACTTTACCCATGACTGACTTATTTCAGTCTTCCACAAACATCTCCTCCTGGTCACAACTGAAAATAGATATTCAGACAGTTATGTTATTGGTTTGAGCAGCTCAGTTGTTTTTAGGATCTCCTGGCATCTTAAGATCAGAACAGATGCTTGTCTTTTGATGAAGCAACTTTTATACTGGAGTAAGTCAGCAGATTTTTACATAGCTGCTCCTTACTTACCTTGCTCCAAAAGCAATCTCAACCCAAAGAGTATCAGTCCAGCTTGGTGGTTTTTTTTAGAAAGGTCCTCTGAAATCAGGCTTCTTAGCCTAAAGCTGAGCACCAAATTACAGTAGCTCAGTTCCCCAGACTGTGAGCATTTAAAAAACTTCTGCTGACCTCAGCGTAAGCTCTAACATATTCTACTGAAAAGAGGCCATTTGGTTAAATGCCAAAAATTGGAGCGTAATTTTAGACTTCTACTTTTAGAGTCTTGCTTTTGCTGTAAAGCAGTCCATGATGCTGTCTCAGTTGCAGGACTTGGATGCAGAATACATATAGTCTAGTGAGATTCTTGTATACGGCCCCTCTGCATCTCATAACTAAGGCTTGGATGATCATATGCAAAAGGATTCCCTGCTACAGTGAGCCAGCTTCCCTTTTTGATCACGGTTCCCCTCAGATAACCTTGAGTTTCCACCACTGCATGAAACTATCTCAGTTCATCAACAGAGGAGCTACTTTTTACAGTGACACTAAGCGTAAGTGATGCGAATGCCTGGGAAGCACAAAACAAAACCCTCTCTCTCTCTCAGAATAGGGAGTTTATAAACAAGAGACAGATACATATTGGTGCTTGCATGACGCACCTTGCACAAAACACGGTTGACACTATCAGGACTATCCAATTACTTCCTGTATAGACATTGTTCCGTCGTTTTTGGTTTTACCACTTGGATATAGCAACAGTCAGTGCCTAAAAACAGGTGTAACTGAATCAATAACCAACTGCTGAAACATCTTGCTGGATGGAAAATCAATATCACCAAGAGTCTAAAAAAAATGCCTTGGGGTGCAACGTGTGAAAGAGGATGCAGCAGCAAACTGCCCCGTACTGCATTGCATTCTTCCAATGCATTGTGACTGTGGAAACATCGTATTTCTTTACCTGCTGTGGACCCAGTTCATCCAACTTAACTGAGATAGTAAACCTGAATCTAGGTCTAAATCAGGATCACAGCCACCCATGGTCCCTTGAATACTTAGACACTCCAGAGGTAATTCAGTGCATCTAAGACTTTAAACACTCTCTGGAGGTATTTTCTTCTCTCTGTTAGGTACAGAAGGAGCTGAAAGTAATGTGCTAGATTGCGACTTCATGAATCCAAGATGAATCTACCAGCTGCTAGTCACTGCTAATGTCTTTTTTTTTCTAAAGCTATTCATTTTGAAAAAAAAGATGAGCAACAGCCAACTGAAGTGATAACTGCCCCATATCGGGATGCTAAAGCAGTGGTTTTTTGACAGCTGTCAGCCAGGAACCCTGCTCTGTATGAGGCAGTCTGTCATCAATTTTTGATATCTTTCATTCCATCGGAAGACCACAAGGCTATAAAGCTAGAAAGACCTAGGAAAATTCATCTAGCCTTTCTCTCCTGCTCTAGGACATGTTCATCTCTACGTCATCCCAGACAGATATCTCACTAACCTTTTCTTAAACCCATGATGACGGCTCCAAGACCCGTCCAGACAACCTATTCAGTCATCCAACTATTGAAAAGCTGTTTTATTGTATAACCTGGATCTTTCTCATTGAGATTGAAGTCCATTATTTCCTGTCATTATTTCCACATGGAGAACAGATTGTTCCCTTCCACTTTGTAACAGCCTTTTATGTATTTGAAGTCCATTATCAAGTCCTTCCTTGCCTATTATTTATGACCTACACAGCACCAATTGGTTGCAGGGGCTTTACAGACAAAATTAGATAGTCCTTAAGTGCTTAAATCCTGTCTTCACCTATCCTGTAACAATCATTACAAAAGGATGTAGGAAAAAGGACAGAAGTACAGGGCTACAGCTGAGACACCATGAACTTATTTGAGAGGGCAGAACTCTCAGATAGAAGATTTGCTCTTGTAGCTTTTTTAACGCTGACTGAATGTAAAGAGACATTCTGAAAGAGGTGGTTTGCAGAGCAGAATGAGGGCAATGGATGGTTCAAGAGGGAATGGTATGCTGAAAGCCATATAAAGGAAAAAATAGAGTGTACCAGAGAGTGAGAAACTTCAGAGGAAAGAGAAGAGTCAGCTAAGAAGCTTTATGGTCAACATCATGACTGAAAGCTGGTGGGATGAGATGGAGGCAACAGGAACCAGCAGGCCACTCTCTGTTACTGCCCTTGCTTTCACCTCTTTGCAGTCAATTGACTGGTGGCCAAGCCCATGGTTTTGTCCCTGTGTCCCCATGACAGATGGGAGTGGCAGTGGCCATTACGATAATGGAGGAGACCAGAATCTACCTCCAAACCCCATCCAGGTTATTTATAGAACTTGAGATCATTCAACTTACTTTCCACATTGATCTTGGCTTGGGTCTTGTCATCAGGACTCTCACAGCAGTAGAAGCCCCTGTCTACAAAGGAGATGTCCTTAACCACCAAGGTATGCTTTGTTCCCTCAGCTTTGATCTCTATTTTTTCACCGGGCTTCAATACGATGCTATTTCTCATCCACTTCACCTCTGCAGGTTTGGTCAGCTCTACCTCCAAGGTCACTGTGTCCCTCTCTTCAACTGTTCTGGGTTCCAGTTTCTTCTTGAATGAGATTGAGGCCTCTGCCAGAGAAGAAATATTAGTAAAAATGTAGAGGATCCAGAAAACAGGCTTTCAGAGAAAATTAAAATGGTGGCTCATGTATCTCCAGTCTCAATGCATTCTGGGCATCCCTATTTAACGATACAAAACCAGAATTTCCCTATTGCTAATATAACTGGTCAGAGGGAAGGCCACATAAAACAACGTAGGTCATAGCATCAGTGACAGCCTGTCAAAGCGGCATTATTGCTTCTTACCTCGGACTCTGAGGTTAGCTGTGCTTTCTACACCCTCAGCATTGGCAGAGATTTCAGCTGCATCTTCCAGTGTCAGATCAGTGATGGTGAGGCTATGGCTGGTGTCCTTCTGCGAGATCACATACTTCTTGCTGGCTTCAATCTTGACACCGTTCCTGAGCCAAGTGACCACAGCATCACTGGGAGAGACGGTGCACTTGAACACAGCCTCTTTTCCTTCCTCAGAGACCACACTGTTGAGACTTGTAACGAATTTTACCACTCTGGGAGCTGATGGATAGGAATAAAACATTTAGAAGCGTGTCTTTGAGACGTGGCATAAGCACCTTCGAGAAACCAAGAGCTTTGATGATTTTATCAGAAGCATCAATTTTTATTACTTAGAGTAAGTGGTCACAATAATAGATCATAATGTTTCCCATGTCTGAGTAAGTTTTGTGTATAAAGTTGCCAGAAGAGAGAGACAAACAAAAAGGGAGGAAAAAAAATCCTGTCTTAGATTTGGGATACTTAAATCCAGCCTCAAATGCAATATGAAGGTCAATTTGCCCACAAATTAAGAGACTGGAGCTCAACAGGTCTCAAAATCAGTGTGTTCTTCACAAATAGAAGTTCTACTGAGAGAGAGAGAGAGGGAGTGGAGTTTTGTATTTTGCTGTCAACGCAGGAGACAGCACAAACATGTGAACAAACTCAGCTTTGCAGAGTTGTAACGGCTGAGGTGACAATGTAGGATCCCTCTACATTGTCACCACTAGAGACATACCTTTGGGAGTGATGGTAATGCTGCTCTTGTCATCTCTGGACTCGCAGGAGTACTCTCCCTCATCCTCAGCCCGGATCCCTGTTATTGTCAGGGTTCGTTTGACCCCCTCCTCATGAATCTGGAAACGCTTGCTGGGCTTGATCTCAACTCCATTCCTGCGCCACATCACCTTCCCTTTGGCATGGCTCACATCACAGGTCAAAGAGACGCTGCCTCCAATCTCAGCATTAACAGCTTCAAGTTTTTTGGCAAACTTCACTGGGATTTCTGAGATCCAGAAGTATTAAAAACAATGAGAAAGGAAAAGGTAAGAAATCTGTTCTAAGAAACTGATTATGGCCAACTTTAGTAAATAAAGAAGTAAATAAATACTTTAACGAACCAACCCTAGGACATATTTGGGGATCAGGGTAGACAGAAACAAACCAGAGAGGTGGAAATTTAGGGAGATTCCTTTGACATGTTATTTTAAAATCACTGTCATTCTGTAAAGCAAGAACAGTGTCTTAAAACATGATTGGGTATTGCCTGCCTTTCTTTCTAATCTTTCACCTGCTGAGACCACGGGGTATTTTTACACCAGAGCCCGATTTGCCTGACTGCGTGTAAAAATCTGTAACGATGCATGAGCCACTTGTGTCTCTTCTGTCACTGGAGACACAGCAAATGGAGTCAGAGGAATCCGGGCTGTGATTTCTCTCACCCTGAAGGAGACATGTCAATAGGTGGGATGTATCATGACCTATTAGCAACCACTCCTCTGCAATGACTCCGAAGAGAGCTGAGGGGGTGCATCTCAGCTGCAAACATCTCCAGTGTGGGTGTCTGAAGAGAAAGGAGCAGACCTTTACTCTGGGACATCACCCCTCTCATCCCCATCTGTGGACCAGCTGTACTTCATCTTTCTTGTCAATTTATAGCCTTCGCCTTGACTAGGGAACAGCATTCCAGGTGCACCGTCCCACAAACAGAGGAGGATATGATTTAGGTCCTGTTTCACTGGGTGACTAACTCACAAATCTTCTCCTCACACAACATCCCTCTACATCCTCATCGCTTTGTCATGCTGGTGAGGAGAGTGGGGAGGAGCTAAGGCTCTGCCATGCCCCAGCTACTGGTGTTAGGAGACAGAAACTGCGTGATGAGAGTGGGGAGCAGACACCAGGAGAATCACCCATCATAGGCTTCCTTGTTCCCCTGAGCGGACAGCCAAGGACAAAAACTGGGTATTTGGAAGGAGGAGGACTTTGCCAGCTCATGGTGGAGCAGCCACAGCAGCTGCAACATCAATGTAAGCCTTGAGGTTGGAACAGATTTAGAGAGAGTTTGGACTTCACCTCCATCTTACCATGAGAGAAGTGTAGCTGTTGGGTTGGGACATGACCCGCGTGCTGCTCTCTACTCACCTTTCACCTGTACTTTGAACTCCTGCTTGTCACTCTTTGTCTGGCAAGTGTACACAGCAGTGTCTGTGCTCTCAGCCAGGTTCACTGTCAGGGTCCTGGATGCCCCCTCACTCTTGATCTCATATTTCTTGCTCGCCTTGATTTCTGTTCCATCCTTGAACCACTTTACTGCAGCAGTTTCAGGTGTCACTGAAGTAGTCAGTGTGATACTTTCATGCTCTTGAACAATGAGAGGCTCTTTCTGGACAACTTTCTTTTCAAATTTGGCCTCTGGTTCTAGGAAAGACATTAAAATAGAAAAACTAATAACTTTATGCTCAAACCCTTGACACAGCCATTTTCAATTACTCTCTCTTTGTGACTCACAACACCAGCTCTTCCATCATCTGTAATAACCCAGGGAATATAGCTGAATATTTGTGGCTGGTGTAATCTTTTGCTGAGTGGGAAGAAAGAAAATGATCTGTCAGGCAACCCAGAACTTCTGCTTACAAGAGAAACAAAGGAAAGGAAACACAACTATACGTTTTATCCACTGCCCACAAAAATCCTGTTTCTTAGAAGTAAAATGACCTGCATAATAATTTCATCTCCCATTTTCAGGGTTTTAAACCTAATTAAGAAGAAATATTAGTACACTACACCAGAACTTATGGCCTGTTTTCTTTTCTGCTTGCTCTATTCCCTTTCTCTTGGCTTCTTCTCTACCTTGTACAATGCTTTGCTGCAAAACTGGGCAGTTTTGGAGCACACACAGCAGTAGACCGGCTTTTCTTAGTCATCTTTCTCCATAGCTCTATTTCTGCTCTTCAAAACTTCCCGCTTCTACTTTCAGCTCCCCACCACTTAAGAAGGTTGGGTGACGGGGTGTGCAAAGGAGACACTAAGCAAAAAAGTATATAACATTTCCACAGCCAAAAAAAAGTCTTCAGCCAAATTTCCCACCTCTACACTGATAGATTAAAAATGCCAAATTATTGTGTGATGTGGTTCATTGATGTTGCTCCAGGGGAAATTATGGCTGCATCGTGGCCACTGGGTAGGGAATATCCAGTTTTTCTCTAAGCCAGTCAAAAAGCTGCTTAGGTGAGTACTCACCAGTTGGTTCCACCCTGAAGGTCAGCTTCTGGCCTGCAGCCTCACAGATGTATTCTCCAGCATCTTTCTTCTCCAGCTGCTCTATAACCAGACGCCGGGTTTTGCCCACAGTTTCTATTTTGAATTTTCTAGAGGAAACAAGCAGTCTTCCATCCTTGTACCATTTTACTTCAGTTGCATCCTGTGTTACCTCACAGCTGAGGGTGGCACTTTCTGTCAGGACAGCATTCACCTCCTTCTGGACCTTTTCCTGGTTTATAAATGCAGGCTTTGGCTCTGAGTGCAGAAAAGGAAGAAAATATTGATTGAAGGATTAAAAGGAAATCGATCTTACATATTTCTATGCAGATGTTGGGAAAATATTTAGGTTGCCACCTGCCAAAACTGATTGCCTTCACTGGGCAACAACTACCCTTGCATGTGACCAAATCACAATTTGGAAACTAGTGAAGCAAAAGCCTAGGAATGGAAAGGACCAAGAGGGTCCTTGACATCAATCCCATGGTTGCAAACCACAATGCAAAAAATATTTAGTTCAAGCATTCCCAAAGAACATCTGTGCTGCATATCACAAAAAGCTCCCAAATTCCTTTTACTAAAGACCTACAGTGAAAAGTCAAGGTCACAAATATAGCACTGTGGGCTTCCTGAACAGACTTCATGGTCTCTTCCACTATCACAAACATGACTGTCCAAGGGGCAAAGGAAATATGATCTCCCCATAGTGCTCAGGTAGCCAGGATCGTGGCTAACAAGGTACCCAAGATTGTTTACACTGTCAACACACCCTTTGACATCACATGCTTAAAGTAGTTTGGGCACCTTGTGAATCCTGTTCCAAGAGACCAATTAGTGGGAATCTTTTATGACAAAGGGAGAGTTAACACCTGGCAGAAGAAGTAAAGCATCTCAGAAGGCTGAGATCTCAAACACACAACAGCACAAATTCAGAAAAAGTTTTGAATTTTCAATGTATCTCAATGAGTGCTGCTGCCAAAATTGCAAATGACAAAATATATTCCAGCCTCTCATTTTTCAGAAATAGGATTGGAATTCTGACAAGGGAAGGATCTTTGATTGGCTCGTTCCTTTCAAGAGGTTCAGTAAGCAAGAATCACCTTTTGAGATCCAAGGAATGGGAGAGATCTGAATAATATGTTGATTATTAATTCTATTATATTTATATCTGCAATTATTATTACAGAAGATTAAGAATGAGATAGGCGTTTGTGCCATGCTAGAGACACATATTCCCATTTCTATAAATCCAGGCAATCAGGTACAGAAAACCAGGGGAACCATACAGTGTGCAACAGAGTGCACAATATTGCAACTGAGTCATTATATAATAGTTATTACAATTATTAATTATCTTCTACTGTAATTCAGGCAAGGAATGTCTCACCTGTGACGTCAATCTTGAAGGTCAGCT